TGTAAAAATGACTGAACAAAAAATACTAAGATTGTAAATATTAAAAACCTTTCACAGAGAATAAGAACTCAGAACGTTACCTCAAAGGATAATTATTTTTTCCTCTCCTTGCATAAGTCTTGGAGATTTTATATCAATAACTACAGAAAGGAATTTATCCCCCACTCTTCTGCACGGCAAGTGGCCCTTAACAACTTCGTAGCTGCAGCTTAATCAGGGCATCAGTACTGGGAGGTCCTTGGGCGGGGGAGAAATTAAAAACACTCATGCATAGATAATACCCGAGTCGTGCCGCAGTTGCTCGCCAGAGTTTACCTGCATAGCTGCCAGGAGCGCAAGTCGATAAGCCAGTCGCGCGAGGGAAAAGGATTTTAGCTAGATGAAAAAATGCCAGAACTGGGTAAAAGCTGGGAAGTCTGGCCATATTTACGTAAGCTTAAATCGCTCCATGTGTCCGTATGTGTACCTTGCTCTATGCTTGTGTGAATGAATTGGTGTGCATGATGGAGAAGCGTTTGCCATGTGCTGCAAATTTTTGCAGCTCCTTGCCGTTCCACGTTCGTTCGCTGTTCGGCTCCCTGGTCTCGAATAAACTATGCGGCGGCCACAGTGCGTATGAGTTATGCAGATAACGCTCAGCTCAGCCCGAAAGCGACAGTAGCGGCTGGCTGGCTGGCCGCAGAAAGTGTTTTACTCAAAGGCATTGTAACTCTTTTGAGGCGACTTCTTTGCCTTTATTCTCTGCATTCCCTGGGTTTTCTTTCTTCCTACCACACCGTGACAAACAATCTTAAGTGGATCATCGAAAAAAGGTCCTAGTATTCTTCATTGAAGCTATATATTCATCCAACTTTTTATTTATTTATTACTGACTCTAAATTTTGTGTATTAAATAAAACAAATAAGTTATATGATATAACCCATTCGAAAATATTATTTTTTCCGTATGCTTCCGTCTTCTTCAGTCGGCAACTTCAGTCGTTTTTTTGTTCTTTTGCAAACCGTTCTGAATTATTGGCAACTTGGGGGAGGCTAGTGGGTATTGAAAGGAGAAGAAGAACCAGAAAAATGACACCAAGTCTCGTAGATTCTTCTTTGGCCTGACAAAAGTTTCCAGCTCTGTATTATTTTTGAGAGATCATATTTTTTATCTGCGTCCCGCGCGTAGCTGCTCAAATTTAAATTAAAACTTCGGCACTTTTGCATTTTATCCTTGACTTTATGACTTTGGGTTAACATGGCAATGAAGTGATGCCGCTGCTCAGCTCCGCATTCGCCTCATTTCGAGGCAGGGCATGGGGTGCGTGTGAAACTTTGTGTCGACATTTTGCGGTTGTAAAGCGTCAAACGCTTAAAACTTAAATAGTTTTTCCTCCTCTTGTTGCTGCTTCGTTATTTTTTATTGTTTTATTTTGGGCGAGTGAAACGTTTTTGCTTTTATCGTTCAAGTTTGAGGGCTTTGGTTTTGCATTAAAAAAAGTTTGACTGGAAATTCGTTTTCATCCTTTCCTCTCGGCAAGTGTCTCTACAAACGCTCTTAGCATTTAACTTAATTTTATTAAAATTTTGCATATTTGTGTAATATTTTCATTTTTTTTTGTTGGCGACACCCACAGATATTTTTTATGAGGGCCAAAGGGCGAGTGTACGAGTATTTCCTTATCATGGTGCTAAAATGCGAAGTGCTTATTTGAATATTTTATAAATTTTTCATTCGCGCCTTATTTCGCAAAATATTTTCGCACACATTCTTTGGACAACTTTGACATTGAGTCGTGCACATGTGTGTGTGCGTAAAGTTGGGTGGGTGGGGCAGGGTGGAGTTGAGTGATTCTCTGTGTGAGTGTGTGGCTATATATGCTAAATGTCTGAAACACGTCTGTCTGGTAGCTGGTAGCTAAAGGCCAGCACACATTATGCTCCGGTCCTGGATCCTGCACTTGCCCCCAGGAACCTTTCCCCTGCATCTCATTCTTTCCCCCCCCGCAAAGTAAATTTGCATACACCCCCACACACATGGGTGTATGGTTTGGCATTCATTTTCACTCGAAATTTATGCAATGGCTTAAATAAGCGCAAAAATGCCATTTTACTCTCAGCAAGTGACAAAATGTGTGTTTCCCAGAACATAAAAAAAATAATTATGCAACGAATAAAACACATTTTTTGGAAGAAAAGCGAAAACCTCAGACACGAACAATAGGAATTTTATTGAAATAATTTTATATTTCACATGGAATTGAATAAAATCCAAATTTCAACTTAGTAAGAGTTTGTTGAATGTCAAATAAATTTAGCTAATTTTTTCAACATTGCCTTCAGTGCAAGGTAATTGATTTTTTGCTGGGTGTATGACCTATGGCAGGTGCTTGAATAAACTCTTGCCAGAATAAAACTTTATGTAATTGATAAAATGTTTTGAAAAGCATTTCCATGCAGAGTTCATGCTATTTAGGGAGGGGGGCTAATGGGTATTTACACATTTGTCATGAGCATGAGCACTTTTCGACCAAAGACCACCGACCGCATTTAGTTGTGCAAGTTGAGGCCGGCAAAACTTTGCCCTGGTCTTGACCAAGACCAATACCTAGACCAAGACCCAGAACTCTGGGCTCTTAATAAAAACAAGATTCTCGGTTTTATCTGGTATCTTTCTGGAGATTTCGTTTCGTAGTTTCGCCCACAACTCTCAACAGTTGAAAGACAAACACAAACACATGGCCAACGTGTCGTATACTTGATTTTATATGCAAAGTACTTGCAGCGTTTTATGTGAGATTCAATTTCCCACACACCACCTTCGACCTTCTCTGCCGCTTGCTGCTTATGCAAAATCAATAAAAAGCATGTGGAAAATGGGAAAACAGAGTGCAGGGAAAATATTTACGCATGTCAAAGGGGTTATAACACCTAACCTGTGTATCTGTCCTCTGGCAAAATCGAAGCCAAAAATAAAACCGAAAAGAACGATAGCAGTACAAAGTGTTGTCAAAAGGTTTTGGGGGATCTGATGTGATGGCTCCATTTCGGGGAATTCGCAGAAAAAGAAAGAGTTGGGCAACAGAGGCATCAGAAATCAATTTCCTGTGGCGCCAAATGGAAAGCGAAAACTTTTCCAAAAGTTAAAGCCAAAATGATGGCAAGGTAACTTCTTCCTCAACTTCTACCTGTCGCTTTCACTGCTTTGGCAATAAAAGCATTGGCAGCTGCTGCCACAATCAGTCAAACAATCAATAGTTTGATTAGGTTTCTGTGCCACATGTTGACTTTAAGCGAAAAATTAGCTCTAAGCCCCCAAAAAACTTTTACCGCCGCCATCCCATCCGCTGCCTTCCTGCCACAACAAATAAACAAAAACGAAACTTTGAACTGTTGCCGGTTATCTATGGGGCCAATGGAAAACTTTGGCACAGCTTCCCGAAAAAAGAGATACAACAACAAAATGGAGATAGTAGAAGGGGCATACAACATATGCTTGCTGCCCGTGGCACTCGAGTTGACATTTATACGAGTATGCAACAAGGAAAACAACTCAAAGTCAAAATGGCCAAAATATGCACATAAATTTCATTACCCAAAGTTGCTCGGCTACAAATAACAGCAACATTTGGAGCGATGGAGGAAACGCAAATGAAAATGTGTCCGGATCTGGAAAAAGTTGCAAATGTGCAGAGATAAGCGCATACAGCGCTCCTTGCAAAACACTGCAAAACAACATCAACGAGTCTAAAATATAATGAAATTAAACAAATTGCTTGGATTTACCTGGGCGGCTACCTGTTTGCCTCCTCCTAGCCTGTCTCGGCTTTTTTGAATCATTGTCAGCGAGTGGCAAAGTTTTTCTTCTATTTATTTCCCCTTCCGCCCGACAAATCCCACGCCGCCATTTTCCACATACAACTGAGTTGTCCTACGGGATGGGAAAAAGGAAAATCCAGAAGCTGCTGTTGGAGCTGCTACTTCTGCTGCTGGAGCTGAGCTGCTGTTGCTGCACAGCAAACGACAATTCATGTAAATTGCTTAATTTATTAGACTTTTTCAGGCGGAGACCCCCTGGTTTTCTCGCCCTCCTTAACAAAACGCCACGCAACTTCCTGACTTTGACAGCGTCGCGACTTTGGCTTAAGAATTGCCAATTGTTGTTGGGCTGCCGGCTTTTCTATTTGCGCTACGCTACAATTTCCTGCTCGTGCCTTGACTGGCTTTTGTCTCGATGTCTCCGAAAAAAAGTTTCGCCGCGTTTCCCCAACGCTGGTTTACTTTTGTTTTCCTTCTTATTTTCTTCCTCAGTTCCAGTTTAAGAATTGAGCGGCTTGCTTTGGTTTGGTTCTGTGTTTTTCTGCGAATTTGTTATCTTAATTCATGTCATTTAAAAATGAAACGAAAAAAAAAAACACAAAAAAGTCTGCCACCATTTGTTTCTAAATAAAACTGATGGCAATTGAATTCATTGTAAATGAGGAAAGGCAGGGTCCCAAGTTTTGTGTAATACGCGGACAGATTAAAAGTTTTTCCTCGCAAATAACGTATACGCCGCCTGTGCCAAGTTTGTGACTCACGTTACGCATACGCCTCGTTGGCCAGGAGTACAGACCAGAGAAGGCCGGAGGGTAAAGAAAGGGGAGCATATTCAAGCCGTGTCAGCTTAATGGCAGCATTCATACAAATCACTGTTACCCGCACGCCGCTTCCGGGCTGCCATTGCACTTTTCAGTGCTGCTTTCTTGTTTTCCATGTTTTTTGCTGAATTTTTTTTCCTTTTTTTTTGTTTTTGGGGGTGTAGCTGCCTGAATTTATATGGGGAAAATTCAAGAATGTACTCCCGGAAAGGAGGCGGAAAACAGCGCGCCAGCGTAAAGTGCAAGAAAAGCGCGCCGTACTCACAAACACTTGGAAAATGGCAGCCCACATGTTCAAAAACTAGGTTACAAGTTGAAACGTGAAACTTAAACGTGACGGTGAGGCAGCATCTTAAATTTCCACAGAATTTTGAAACATACCCGTCAAGAGATGAAGTTTTGAGTGATGCTTCTATAGACATTTCAGTTTAAGGACTTGGAGTTGGATATCTTCTCCTGCTTGACTTTCCTAGATCTCCGCTCGCTTCTCACAATTCAAAACTTGAATACGCGTCGTCTCACTTCGTCACTCGTCACTTTGCCACTTTGACTTTTTGCCACTTTGCCGGCTTCTCCAGAACTGCTGGGCTTTGTTGGCTGCTGGCGACTGGTTCGCGAATCGACAGTCCCGACTTGGCCAGGATTTTTGCGAATTCGCCGCAACAGCTTCGGCTTCAAAAACGAAGAGAGTGCCAGGATTTTTGCGAAAAGTCACACGCTCGCTCTTAACGGGCGTATAACAGTTTTTCATGCTCCAGTTTGTGTGTGGAAAATTGTGTCATTAGGTGCATTTGTTTTCGTTGTGCTGTCCGAGCACCGAGCTACCCACTATTTCTCCCACCCGCCCCATCCGCGCCCTGGTGCCACTTTGCCACGTTTGTTGTTGCTGTTTATTTGCTTCATCTTCATGGCGTGTCACTTTTCGAGTGTGTGTACGAGTGTGTGTGGGTGTGTGTCAACCTGGCGCCGCTCATCTAACTAAATGCCAACAATTATGTTTTGGAGTCTCATTAGTTGGAACTTAAAGTGTTCTAATGTGTTGCCGTGTGTGAAGAACGATGCCGTTAATGATGTAAGCGTCAGGTGTGAGCTGAAAGCTGAGAGCCAGGAGATTCAGCCATAGTGCCAGAATCAAGTCAAGTGGGCTCTAACCAGCCCATCCCGCTTATATACATACCAGCACATACGTATATGTATATACTTTTGGGGTCGAGTTCGTGCCACCTGGCGCTTTGTTAATTGGTATTACCTGACCCACACTGAAGAAAATAATTAAAGTGTTGAGATTTTTTTAACAAAAGCTTTGGCGAAGATAATGGACGGCGAAAGACTTTTCCTGTCATTTTTTATCACAAAATTATATATTTTCCATGAAAGTTGTTCCATTTTTTTATTTTTATTGTTTCCCTTTGTGTTTTGTGTATGAAAATTTGTGTCCTCCATTGGTCCCGAAACCCCAAACCAAATGGACTCGATGACAATGCTAGGGCATCGAGCTCACTGAGCGCCAAAAACAAAACAAAACGTGCAGCACAATGTGGCACAACTAATCACGCTGACGTTGACAGAAAATGCACTAAACAAAGAGCCAAATAAACCGACACACACAGCCGCCACACACCAAACAGAAGGGCCCATATAAATCGCATGCGAGCGTTAGCCAGCGAACAGGTTTAATGAATGCTCGTGTACGGGTATGGGTCTGTGGGTGTGGGTGTGGGTGTGAGTATGGGTACACGGATCCGGATACGGGGTCCGAGAAAACGGAACCAGCAGACACACAGGTTAGCAGGTTGGGTTCACGTTGCTGCCGTAGCCAACTAATTTAAGCTGCGCCTTGTTATAATTACGCCGCGCAGCAACAAAGCTGTTGGAAAATGATGCGCACGTGACATCCGGCACGGTCCTGCCGTCCGCAAGACCATACCCAGTCCAAAGGACACTGCAAAGGGGGAAACCAGAAAAGGAAAATCAGCCATCAGCCAACAGCCAGAAGAGAAAGCCACAGCGTCAAAAAAAGGAAAGAAATGAGGAGCAGCCCAGGAAAACGGGGCAAAAAAAAAAACAAAGGCCGGGCCAACGAGTCACACGCGCCCAGAGCAAACAGAACAAAATGCAAGTTCTCGCGGGTGTAAAATAACCGACCCCTCAGCCAGCTTAGTTTTTAGAAAATTATGAGTGGGTGGCTCTGGCGTTTTTGCATTTTTTATACAATTTTCTGGGATTACTTGCAAGCTGGAGCAAAAAAAGAAAAAACAGAAAAAAATGAAAAAGGAGAACCGGGGTGGGACTCAAGAAAATTAGTCGCGCTTTTCGCTCGCGTCGGAAAGGAATAAAAAGTGCAGCCAAGGAGCGAAGTGTAAATTTACTTCCGCTGGAAAATGTGGGCGTGCTGCCCCGTTTGCTGACAGCTGACTTGTGGGCGGGGAACGGTAGGTTGCCGCCGGGCGTGGCCAGTAGGTGGACAGGGCAAAAAAAATGCAACTTTTTCTAATTAAGCGTACGTGCGACTGTCAACGGCTTCAGCTGCTGAGGCAGCGTGCTCTTTACTTGTATAACTTATTGTCGTTGACAATAGTTTTAATTGAAAAGCGCCCGACTCCCTTTTCGGTACGTGTGTATGCTTGTGCATCACTACAGCTGGGTGTGAGTGCCGAGGGCAGTGGAAAACCAACTCCTGAGCTCACCTCTGACAATTCAATCAACGCTACAAATGCTGACTCGTTTATTTTTTAAGATCCTCCACAGCTAGATAGCTGAAGCTGCACTGAGAATTAGGGGCTATCATTTAATTTCTTGCATTATAAATAACAAAATTTAATAATTCTAAAAGTTTTGCAGTGGAATGGAGGTAGTTTAAGTTGTAGCTTCGTGATATACTATTAAATTTTAAAAATTCATCGATTTTCTTCAAGTGTCGTAGCAAGCAACTGTTGGCAGCTTAGCCGGCATTTGTCTTTGTAAGTGCGTCTTGGTTCGGGCTCCCGTCTTGGCCACCACTTAGCTGCTGACCAGGTGCAGCTTTGGGCCAAGAGCTGCTCTAATTGAAGTTCCCATTGAAGCTGTCCTTGCTGGAGTGAGAGTGAGAGTGGGTGGTACGGGCGGTGGCATAACTCAGCCGCATGCTAAATCAAGAAGCTTCTCAGCTCGGAATCCATTTCCCATAGTCATGCACTGGCAGCGAACATTTATCAAGATGATGGCACATGCACAGTTTACCTGTGCGCCATAAATAAGTAACGCATCTTCCCTGCCTTCAGTGCCCCAAAGTCCCCCCAAGCGATGCAATCAGCGCCAGGAATCCTCCGTTGCCACGCCCCCCTCCGCCCAGTGTCTGAGCCTCAGTCTGCGGAGGCGGTTGCAAGTTTCTTAATTTTCGTGCGCCGTGAATTCGCTCACACATTCGGTAAGTTTTGCGCCTACACCGGGCCACTTCATATCCTTTGTCTCTGAACTAGGGCACTGAGGGAAATATTTTGAAGATTAAAATACTAATTAAATAAGAGTACATATTTCATAAAACGTATATTTGATATTTTGTAATGCAAAAGATTCAAGAGGGTAGAAAAAGGTTACCAGACACACTTATCTTCTCTTAACGATTTTCAGAAGCTGGTTTTGAATCTAATCTTTTCCTCATAATCACGTAATTTGTATTTTTTTATGAAAATATTTGTTTTAGTTATTTTTATTAAACTCTCCGGAATATTGTTGTGCAGCTTGGCGTAGCAGAAAATCGCTTAAGACGCCGCTGCCGCTCCATGCCACTTCGCTCAAAGTTTATCCCTTGTGGGGATGTAGCTTCCGTAGTATACCTTGGACTCCCACCTGGGTAAGTTTTGCCACTGCTACTACCTCAGTCATCAGTTTTGAAGTTGAAGCTGAAGTTTTTGCCGGGTTTGCATCTCTCGTTCCCCGTATCCCGTATCTGTTTCCGCATCTCAGTCTCCCTTTCCGGCTCAACTTCATCGACATCGTTTACTTTTCGATTCGTTTCGTTTCGTTTTGCAATCTGTAATTACGAGCAGCAGCCGCTTGTGATGCCTTTCGGTTTAACTTTCAACAGCTGCCAAGGAGTCGCTTCCTCCACTGTCTATAACCGGAAGTCCCTCCCCGATTCTTCATCTCAAGTTGAAATATAATCGACAATGTCGATTGGCGCGTGTGTTTTTGTGGTTTTTGCGTTGGAAACTTTTATGTTAGTTTTGTTTTGGTTGGTATTTCTAATGCCTTGGAAAGGAGTTTTTGCCAGTTTTCTGATTGCGTCGAAAGGATTGCATATTTTACGATGATGTGCGTGGCTTTGTTTGTGTTGATGTTTGGGGGTTAGTGTGTTTGTCTTTGGCACGCAAAGTGCGTTTCCACCCCGGCTGGATGGCTGGATGGTTGGCTCATTAAGCTGCATTTGATATGCATACGAAATCGGGATGGGGCTTAAGCTTCGCCTGCTAATAAGAATCCATTTCCCAAGAAGCCTTTGACTGACGCTAATTAGAAAAGTTGGCTCAATCACGGGTAACACTTCCGCTCTTGCCCTTTTTTTTTTGATTCCGCCATTAACGCAACACTGGCGCTAATAGAGTCGGCGACTTTATTGAGGACTTTGGCAATAAGAGTTTTCCAACAAGTTTAAAATTGTCTGCATGCCTTCGATGGCGCTGGACCAAGAAAAGGGTAAAAAATCAAGGCGCAAATGACGGTTCACTTAATTTGCATTTAATTACAAAGTTCTACAAAGGACAGCGATGCCCCAACAGCCCGAAAAAAAACGAAGAAAAAATTAAACCCAACTTCTCAGTTACGCAAATCTTTTAACAGATACTCCAGGCAATATCAAAGCAAACAAGCATTTGTTTATAAATATAATGCATGGAGCTAGCTATTTGTGTTTCCTCTGGTATTTGTACAACTCACTTTCCGTCAAAACATTGACTCGTTTGCTCATACATTGGCCAGGCGGCACTTAAAAGATTAAAAAATGTTGAGGGGATGCGAGAAAATTGGGGGAAATCATCAGCAAAGTTTTCGCGACCGCAGCGAATAAACAAAAGTTTGGAGGGGGGAAATCAGTTAAAAAGCATCTCACGCAACAGCACCGAACACAAAAAAAGAAAAAAATACAACATATAACAAATTGAAGAATAAATGGAAAACAGCAAGTAAAAACATGAATCCCGCTTAAATATATATTGAAAAAGTTTTGCTTATGATATTTTTATGGGGGATCATCAAATTGGCCAGCGCGGAGATGAGATGGCTTCTTAATGAAGTGGATGCTGCCGCAACAAAAGGCATTCAGAATTAGCATTAGCACGCAGCCCACCTCCTTGACCCACATTTTGTGTGGGGCCAGAAGTGCCTGTAGGTGGTGCCAGAAATTCAAGTGACGTGCGTGAACTTGCGCATTTCGTGCACGTCCTTGTCGTGTCCTCAATGTTCCTGTAACGTCCCAT